ACCGAACGCTCAATAAAAGTCTTTCGAAGGTAGCTCGACAAAATTAAATAAAAAATTGATTCCGACGACGCAGCCTGTAAAGGCTGCGAAACGTCAATAAATAAATAAAGTTTCGTGCATTAACCCGTGAAAAACTAGTTTTATTATATTACGCTATATTTGTATATCACAAGTATCACAACATGACGCAGTCTTAATATCCTTAAAATGTCTTAATATCCTAATAATCCAGAACCCTACCGGTTCTGAATTCTCACATATTCGCGTAAGTATAAATTTTTAGTTCATCATATTTCTGACTGATGGTGTAGAATCAAATGTATCATCACAATGAGTTCTCTGAAATTATTTAAATGCCTTTCATTCAGTTTCCAGAAAGAGAGATGAAAAATATTCAATATTAAAAAGCTCTTAATTAATAAACGAATTGACGCGAAATGAAGAAAAACTCAAAGTTAAATAGAAACCATTAACATTAATGGTGAAAGTGAAAGTAAAAAGAATGGAAATGGAGAAATTAATAAATACGCAGAAGAAAAAAATATGCATGAGAGAAAAGAAAAAGTCTCGGAAAGAAATGAAAAACAAAAAAAAATATCATAAAAAGGTGAGGAACACAGAGAGAACCACAGAGTGAGTAAGCAGATATAAAAAAAATGATTGACAGTATTTTTTTTATTTAAACTTTATTGCCAAACATAAGCAAACGGCGGACTTAATGCCATAGGCATTCTCTACCAGTCAACCAGTATGATTGTTGGAGACAAATAGTATGGCGATAGAGCAAAGTTGCTAAAATTAAATAAAATGAACAATATCAAAATAACAGCAATAAAATAATAATACTTAAATACAAATTGATGCACATATATAAAATACTCATATAACCATACATAAAATACAATAAATATAATATATATCGATGCAAACTATAGGGAAAAATCACTTAGTCAGGTATTCAAATGTTTTCATTTAATCATATTGATATTGCACGCGTTACGTAAACCAGCTTAAATTAAAATTATAACGGCTAAATAAGTTAACCGTTTCTCAAAGTTTTATCTTTTTTCTGTTCTTTATTTATTCAGAGGCTTTTATTAAGTTTTATTTTGAGAAAGGGAAAATCGTGAGATCATAAACTGGGACCTCTCAAAAGATTTAATTTATAAAGCAACTGAAGTTCGCTAATGAAAAATTATATTGATGCTGTTATTAAAATAAAATCAGATTCTTTTTAGGGATATGTATTACAATGAGTGATAAATGGAATCCTTACAAATATTTCCCCTGGGCAGGGGATTGGCAACAGCGTGAGTAATATTTTTGAAGTTATACTTCTTTAGCCGCGTTATGAAAAAATTATGAGAGTGAAATTTTAAGATGCGCGCGCATCACTGTAACACAAAAGTAACATAATGAAGTTAGCCGCGGGCGCGTTATGATAAAATGATGAGAGTGAAATTTTAAGATGCGCGCGCAACACTGTAACAGAAAAGTAACACCATGAAGTCGGCCGCTAAACCGCACATTACTCGTAAGTCTCGAAAAAAAGCTTCCAACAAAATAGTAATAGGATCTCTTAGTCGCACATGTTGGGACACTCGTCGCCTCTGATCACTGTTTTCATATTTATAATATTTATCCACATGTTTCTAGTTTCTATATTCTTAACACGTGTTATAATGTTATATAAATGCGAAATTTATATGTGCTAATAAATTTTATTCAGTAGTGATTTAAATTGAATATTTTGATTATTTATTAAATTTTTCAAATTAAAACTGAACTTTATTGACTGCGTTGACTATCCTTTTCCAATCCTTTTATTATCTTATTGTAATTAATTATCTGCATGCAATTAAAAACTATTTTTTAATAATTCCAAAAAGAAGTATAACTTCTCACGCGCGTACTTAAGTACACGCACCCATATTTATTTGTATAACAAGCGTCTGTAGGGAGGGCCATATGCTTGTTTTCCAAGCTTTTAACATAAAAACATGCCTCCGAAATAAGGATAATCATCTTAAAGGTAAATAGATAATGGTCGCTATTACAGCTAATGATAAAAATCAAATGAAGCTGAGAAATAAAGGGGTTCTCATTACATTGAAGTGAAATGTATGAAATGTAGGACTTCTTTTGCACCTTCCAGTTTTAAAACAATACCATGGTATAGAACCCTGAGTTTACGATACCGATGCGCACTTGCCCTTTTGAAAATTAGCTCAGGAATAAACATATAAATTTTAATAAAGCACCTGCTAGCCTTTCAAATAATTACTACGTATATAACCTAGCTTCCGGGAAAATTACACGACACTATATTAAATTAAGTGTTAGGAACGTAAATAATTTCAGGAAAATCACGTTTAAGGGCCTTATAAATAAACATAACATATAAAAATCCGCGTTTTACAAACGGCGTCGCCCGTTTAAAAATGCTTGCTGTTTTAAAATATGCCGAAGTCATATTGACGACTCGTTCAATTGTTAAAATTTCAACATTGATTATTTTAATAAGGTGACCAACATAAAAGACAGGTTGGATAAATAAGACTTAATTTATTCGGTCATTAGGTCCTAAACCTGATCAAACAGGACTGACTTAAAATACAGGCTTAGTTGAGCACTCCTAAAGTAAGTAAACTAGTAAAAGTAAAAAAATAAACAAGGATCGATCTTTAATGTAGTAGGTACTGAATTTTGTCTCGACCACCATGTCCACAGTCCCTATGAATATCTAACAATATATCAAAATATAACTAGAAAAAAATCCACGCGGACCAGGCAGCAGACGGGACTCGAACCCGCACCCTTCGCAATCCGGGTGAATGCACTGGCCAATTATGCTACCGCGGCCCTCACGGTCAGTTTGTTGGTCAGTGCATTCGCCCGGATTGCGAAGGGTGCGGGTTGGGGTCCCGTCTGCTGCCTGGTCCTCGTGGATTTTTTTTCTAGTTATATTTTCTTTAGATTTAAACATCAAGCAGTTACATGCTTTAAAATAATAAAAAAATAATAAATATATCAAAATGTTAAATAATAATCTTCTAATGGTGTTACATGGGCTGTTGGACTCTCCGAGCTGTCTTTTTTTTTAGAATAAGATAGTCCACAACGCCATGACTCAGCATATCATACTGTTTATACCAATAAATAATATTACGCAGGAGTCCTTCGACCACCAGATTCCATGAATATCTTAGCGTTGTTTACGTGTCGGATAACCTCAAAAATTAAACGGCTCTAATACTGCTCCTATTTAAAAAAAATTTGAGATATAGAAAATACGCGTGGCGTTGCTTGGGTTAGCGTCGCGTTTTATAAGTCTGTTTCTGCTTTATTCTCTTTTCCTAAACCAACTAAGAACTGACATTTTGTTGTAACACAGATATTCAAAATATGCTCCCCATAGTGATCCATCAAAGCGCCCAGAAAGGCGGACATTTTGTTTAATGTATGAAAATTTCTACAAAGGTTGTGACACGGGAAATGATTTATAACAATCTTAGAACGAATATAATTTTACATTTGAAACAAAATAATAGAAAGTGAGAACGATGGTTGTTATACGATCGTCAATGTTAGGAAATGTACGCAATGGTCGGTCATAAGATGGGTGACCGAGAACATATTAATTCGTGCTTCGAAAATTGTCAGTTGGTCCAGGAAAATAATTTAAGGAGCAAGCTCAAGAAGTCATTGGAAAAAAATGGGATGACTACCTATTTATTTCATCATCAACCTGCTAATGTACTATCGCGGAATTTTGCGCTCTGTCACTTGGCAAACAAAATGCTTTGAACGGTTTTCTACAGTAGTTTTTACTACGCCCCGCCTTCGCGTCGGACGCGCCAATCCGGGCCGCCGCACAAAAGTAAGACAGAGAGCTTTTCATTGATTTAATAATGAATTGAATTGCATTTGTTTTAGTTGCAATTTGCCATCCGCATCGTGATCGCGACAGCGCTATACGAAAAAGTAAGACAGCGATAATTACATGTCTATGAATGAATTTTTACTACGCCGCTACCGCAAGCGATTATGGCATTATGGGTGACAGAGCGGGTCTTTCCGCGAGTGTACTAACCGTGGGGCACAAGCCTTCCCTATGGATGGAATAGGGAGATCGGGTCATGACGGATTAGCGGGTGCTAACGACTGCAGATGTGGTCGGGATCAAGGGCTTAACGTGCCTTCAGACGCAAAGAAAGCAAGGTAGTAATTTAATGATTTAAAAAAAAATGGGTGCGTGTACTTATGTAGGCGCGTGAGAAGTTATCCTTCTTTGGCATCGTTTAAAATTAGTTTTTAATTGCATGCAAATAATTAATTACAATAAATTAATAAAAAGTCTGGAAAAGGACACAGTCAATAAAGTTCAGTTTTAATTTGAAAAAATAAATAAATAATCAAAATATTCAATTAAAATCGCTACTGAATATAATTTATTAGAACATATGTGATTTGCACTTGTATGAAACTCAAACACGTATTCCGAATATACAAACTAGAAACATGTGGATAATATTATAAATATGAATACCTATAACTGTTACTTTATTACAAAAAATAAAGATGTGGTTTTTGGTTCTACTACACCAATGGTCAAGAGATGGCGCTGTAGTCTCCTGAATCGCGCTTTGGTTCCGTTGTTCCAGATTAATAAATACTTTTGATAGGCCTTCACAATGCAGTCGTTATTTCTATTTTGTTGGTAGATTTTCTTAATGTGCAGTAAACACAAAAGTAAACAGCATGAAGTTGGTCGCTAAAGCGACCAACTTCATGCTGTTAATTTTTTGTGTTACAGTGATGCGCGCGCATCTTAAAATTTCACTCTCATCATTTTTTCATAACGCGCCTAAAGAAGTATAACTTCAAAAATTTTTTTGATAGTAGCTTAATCGCTGCTGTACGCGCTAACCATTTACGCCATCGAGTTACTCTCTTATACTTTCAACATTAACGAAAGGAAAAAACAAATGAAGGCTCACCATCGATGTCAACAGCTTGGGCTCTAAACACTTGACCGAAAGCACCTTCTCCGATGATATTGAAGACCCGGAGTCGATGCCGGGGGAACTCCCATTCGTCAGAAGGCTCTTCTTTCGTAATTGTTGTTTCATCCGACATCTGCAAAATATAAATACATAGCTAGTGGTTACCGTGCCTACGCATTATTATTAGAGATACTAGACATATTGTTAATATAAGGCTTTAAAACATACTAGCAAACCAGTCAACCAAATGTTCACCAAAACCTGATTTCTCGAAAACCGGAAGTGCTACGTTACTCAAATCCGGTTTGTAGTCTTATCAGACTATTCTTAACTTATAACTTAAATATTCTCTTTATCTATCTCTTACGGTTTGGCCGCTGAAACAGCACCACAGACAGACGGACTTGTCTAATAGATAAGAGATGTTTTCGTGAGACCTTCCGTGAGTCTCATATTCCCTTTTTATGTACAGAGCTAGCTAGTACTGGCGATTAAAACTGCGATTGAATGCAGCTCTACTGTGACTTGTCTATCTTACGCTCAATAGAATGCCCCTTCCGCTAATATTTCATAGTACATTCTCAGAACCCATTCAATAACACCATATCAATAGTATTCTCAAGGTGGCAACTCACGACTGATCAGTACGTAAATCTTTGTATGAAATATAAGCTCAGCAGTGGACACTGAATAGCTAGCAGGTTGATGATAGAGCTGTTAATCTAGATGAATAGATTTAGAGCGGTCATTCAAGGACTGCTGGAGCAGTTAGCCAGTTAATTAATTGAGCAGTTAATCATCATAAACGGACCGCTCTTGCAATCAGAGTCAGCAGCATCAATTTCACCATTCCATTTCACCGCACTGCTAACCGCAAGAAGCAGTCGCATCACTTCATACTCAGAACCTCGTACGCAACCTGTTGTTCAATATGCAGTCTTCTTCAAGCTGTCCGTGTATGGCCGGTCTTAAGGTCGGCAGAAGGAAGCAAAGACGGAGGCTAGTTCTCATCACTTTCATATAAAATTTCATGTGGATTTATTATGCAATGAATTTAGCAGGTGCACCAATTAATATACATCCTACTAAATACATTAATCTGCCACCACACCTTATTAGTAGTCTTCATTTAGTGTGATGTAGGAGATAATTTGGACAACTTTTTTATTACTTATATTAATGAAACATCGAATCCATGCTCGTGTAATAAGAAAGTACCTACCATGCTGTTAGTTAATAAAAAACCTTTAAATCTATTAATAGTGAATTATAATGCTCTATTAGGAATTATGGTAATGACGATAATGAACAATGGATAAAATTGATATAAATAATTCCCAAACTAAATTTCACTAATTATATCATCTAATGCACGAGAGATAAAATAATAATTAATGTAAATCAGTTCACAATTCACGAAAATATCGCCACGTACATAAAAATACGTAGGTATTTCATCATAACTATGTTTTCTTTAAAATTAAATTGATATTTCACAAATCATACCTTTAAATTTATATAATAACTACTTAAATATAAGCGTAGTGTAGTAGTAATTTATTGCAGTGTAAACACATTTACAAAGAAAATATTATGAATGAATATGAGAATGTCGCGAAATATAGAATTTAAGTTACGAAGATTCTGAAGTATGAAAAATATTCCCTATCTTCTTTGAAAAGAGATCCTCTGTACATAACGAGTTAGAGTCAGCAGTAGGTAAAGGGTAGAGGTAAACATTTCAGAATTAAAAAAAAATGGTGACCTATCCGTGACACAATTCAGTATAATCCCCAAAGAAAATGAAATCAGTTAAGTGAATAAATATTATTTATGATGAATTTTCGTTAAAGGTGAGTCGAATATATGGAATTTAATATAAAAAATGATAATGAATGAATGTTTCAATGTTTAGGCCATGGAACTGACCTGCAAATGGTTGTTGTCCCAGGATTCGTAACGGTTGGAGTATGTCCGCGGTCGGTTCCACAAGTTTACCGAAGAATCTTGGAGGACTATACCGCTCGCGTCTTTGCTCTGTGAACGACAGAGATCTTGTTATTAGGACAAACTTTTAAGCAAAAAATTGTTTCATGATGATAAAATAAAGCGTTAGTTTCCGACTTGTTTTTTTTTTGTCATCGGATAACAATCCATCACGTAATTTAGAGAAAAGCTTGTAACAACTAATTCTGTTTGAATAGTATTACGCTTTACTGTTAACATTTTATTTGTTCTTAAATTGTTATCAGAAGTATCAGTTTCATCAAAACTATTTGAGATAACAATTTTAAAAATAACATTAAAAGTGTTCATACTAACCATGTCGTCTTTTTTGCTTTTTGATTTACTGGAACTGTTATTCTTCTTCCAAACAAACAGTATGACTGCAGCTACGATAATCACCAGTCCGCCTATCGCAATCACAGGTATAACTGTTAATGGTACATCACTTCCTAAAGTTTGCTCCTCGGTCGCATCTGATGCATTTTTAATTTCTTCAACATTAATTGTCTTTATCGTTGTATGTTCTAGTTGGGTTGGTTCTGGTCGTTTGGATGGAATTAGTGTTGTGACTACTGTTATTTCAGGTACTGTTGTGAACTCTTCTATGAGACTTTCAGTCGCTTTGGTTGTGCTTGGCGTCGTACTTGGCGTCGTGCTTTGGTAGTTTGGTGGCGGCATCGGCAACGGTATGGGGTAGTTTGACCACGGCGGCGGCGGATGAGGGATCGGTCGTTGACCCAAATTGTCTGTGATGGTGGCTAACACTTCCGTCCGCTGCGGTATGAATCCGTCAAATACTGTCACCCATAGCGAATACGAACAGTTTTCCTGAGAAAGAAAAAGCAATTTGTTTACTAAATTTTATCGAAGATGATATTAAACTATTGAGGACTGATTTTAGCGTCCTGTAATTAAGGATCTTAATAAGTTTCTGTCTGTTCCGTCTATTTGTTAGCGGGCAGTGTATCTCATTTTATATTGCTGTTTATATTTATAAAAAGGAGCTCGATGGCGCAAGTGGTTAGCGCATTCGGCTGCGATCGTTGAAGTTAAGCAACTTTTGCAGTGGTCGGTCATTGGATGAGTGACCAAAAATTTACTATCTTGAGTTCCTCTGTGCTTCGGAAGGCACGTTAAGCCGTTGGTCCCAGCTGCATGCATGTGGTGGGTCATGGCCCAATCTCCCTATTCCATTCATAGGGAAGGCCTGTGCCCCAGCAGTAGGGACATTAATAGGCTGATGATGAAGATGATTTATAAAAAAAGGGAAGTAACGTACTGTCCCCACACAAGAAACATGATTAATCAGCGTATTTTACATCACAATATAAAAAAAACATATTAACTATAATGTTACGAAACTTTTAAAGTAAAGATGAGTGTGATGTTTTTCAAAATAGAAAATGACAATTTGATAATTCTTCATCCCAAACAATGCGCTGAAGAAGCTATTTCTAAAAACATAGATATATCAAACGGCTGAAGGGGGATGATTCCCTGGAGTGCATTTCAACAGAAGTTTGTTGAAACAGGGTTTTATTGCTTGATAAATTGTTTGGGGTGAGAATCCACCCAAAAGTAACTCCACTAAAAAGTTTAGTTTAGAAGATTTAGCAAGATAACAAGTTCTATTAGTATCTAGGTTGATTACAAAATAACCATTTAAAGTTCAATTCCGTAAGAAAAGATAATTTGCCAATATATCTGTGTCTCATTAGTTAATCGATTACCTAGAAGATAAACATCGAAATCTAGCATCTGTAAGATAAGTGTACTTGCATAATCCTTGAACTCAACCCCGAATACGGCACAATATATCAAATATCCTAAAAGGCAAGAAATAACAGATCAAATTTTGAGGTAGTTATAATTTTTGAAGTTATACTTCTTTAGGCGCGTTATGAAAAAATGATGAGAGTGAAATTTTAAGATGCGCGCGCATCACTGTAACATAAAATTTTAACAGCATGAAGTTGGTCGCTTTTTGTGTTTACCGCACATTAAGAAAATCTACCAACAAAATAGAAATAGAATCTCTATTCAGTGGGTGCTAACGACTGCATTGTGAAGACCTATCAAAAGTATTTATTAATCTGGAACAACGGAACCAAAGCGCGATTCAGGAGACTACAGCGCCATCTCTTGACCATTGGTGTAGTAGAACCAAAAACCACATATTTATTTTTTGTAATAAAGTAACAGTTATAGGTATTCATATTTATAATATTTATCCACATGTTTCTAGTTTTAGCATGTAACTGCTCGTTGTTTAAATCTAGAGAAAATATTACTAGAAAAAATCCACAAGGACAAGACAAACATTCTTAAGAAAAAGAAATTATTACTATAATTGCTATTTCTTCTTTCAAATGTTTAATACTTGTAAAGGTATTCATTTGACATTGTGGGTTACCTACAATGTGAAGATGTGGCGCTGCCTTGTAGCTTAAGAAGGGTTAGAAATAATTAGACACGGCCATCAGGGCCGCGGTAGCATAATGGTTAGTATATCGCCCGGGTTGCGAAGGGTGCGGGTTCGAGCCCCGTCTGCTGCCTGGTCCGCGTGGATTTTTTTCTAGTTAAATTGTTTGGATTTCTTCAGGTTCTTAACCAGTCCCGTAGACCGTTATAATTTGCACAATCACTTTAGTTGACTTTAGCAGAAACACAATCGGCGGAAAGCGATTAATCAGAAAAGGACGTATGGTAAAGCAGCGTGTAATAGTCATCGAATGACTTTACAGATATTTGTTTTAAGTAGATAGGTATCCATCTTTCGCGAAAATGAATAGACAGCAAAAAAAACGACAGATTGCATTCCAGGAGTGCCGGCAGAAGTGAAAACTTGAATATTAACGTTGTACATTTTTGATATTTTGGAATGGTTAGGGAATAATTTTGCACGAAGTGCTTTGATTATCAGTATAAAAAAACTGTCATATATGTGGTAGAATACAATATCTATTTATTGCGCTATCGTACACAAACATGACAATTTATATTGCATTAAAAAGTTCATCTCTCAGAAAAATCAACTTACATGAATCACATTTAAGCGCACCTAGTGACATCTATAGTAAAAAAATCAACTTACATGAATTACATTTAAGCGCTCCTAGCGACATCTATTGTAAAAAAATGTATTTTCTTCGCAATAAAGCTGCTACCTGGACGTCCTCTAAGAGACTTATTATTATAATACGATGAAATAAAATATTACTATTTTTCGTCCAATATATTGAAAGTCAACAACTTTTACAATTTTTTTGAATTCGTCTTACGTCACGTGTCCTGTCGAGTTTAACATTTTTTACCCATACAAAAAAGTGTATAACGCCGCTAAAGGAGTTATCGCTTCAAAAATTAGTTAATTTGAATGCTCTTAAAAAGAAATTTCGTTCCTCGATATTGAATTAAGAAAGATGTCATTTATTTTTTTGTATTTTTACAGCAAACTCTTTCATTTGATACCCACATCATGACAGTTCGGTGTAGAGCTAAAGTGTAGACTACAGTTTTTGTTCTCAGGCTTGTATTATACACAATGACATTCATCTATGATTCTTCTTATACCTGCATGCAAAGTCTCAGCCCGATCGGTTTAAAATTGACAAAGTTTCATACAAACTTTCATTCACTATTTTATCCCCTTGGGGGTAGATTGATCAAAATCATTTCTTAGCAGATGCCTACGTCATAACATCTACCTGTATGCCAAATTTCAGTCCGATCCGTCCAGTGGTTTGGGCTGTGCGTTGATAGATCACTATGTCAATCAGTCAGCCACCTTTGGGTTTTATATATCTTTATATATATAATTCTTCTGTGAGTGTGTATGTCACTGAACTTCTCTTAAACGACTGGACCGATTTTGATGAAATTTTTTGTGTGTGTTCAAGGGGATCTGAGAATGGTTTAGATTCACAATTTTGTCCGCTGGACAACCCCTATTTTTTTAGGGCGGTACGAAGTTCGCTGGGTCAGCTAGTATACCTATAGATTGCAAAGTATATAGAAGCTTATAAAATACGTTATTTTTGCGTTTTTGTATAAAAATTAATAAACCATTCGTTTTGAGTTGGGATGGGATTAAAGCTCGTAACAATCATTGAACAATAAAAATACACTATAATAGTTAGTTTTCTCATAACTGTAAACAATATTATATTAACGTTAATACGTTTCAATCAATGCAATAATGCAATTCCATTAGTTCCAATTAGGTTATATTACAGCAAAAAAAGATTTTTTATTCATTTTACATTATGGGTTATCTACAATGCGAAGAGATGGCGCTGCCTGGCAGCTTAAGAAAGGCTAGAAAAAATTTGAGACGATCATCAGGGCCGCGGTAGCATAATAGTGCCCGGATAGTGCAGGGTGCGGGTTCGATTCCCGTCTGCGGCCTGGTGCATGTTTTTTTTCTAGTAATATTTTCTTTAAAGATCGAGCAGCTACATGCTTAAAAATTTAATTAAAAAAAGTTTTATTTATTTATTTTTTCGAAAAATGTCTCCACGCTGACTTTCAAATTATGCAATTATGAAACCTTAACTCTATGGAATAGGGAGATTGGGCCATGACCCACCACGCGGGTCCAGGTCGGATTGGTGGGTGGGTACTAACGACTGCAGATGCAGCCGGGACCAATGTGCCTAACGTGCCTTCCGAAGCACGGAGGAGCTCGAGATAATAAATTTTTGGTCACTGACCATCCATCCAAAGACCGACCACTTCTAAAATTGCCTAACTTCAACGATCGCAGCCGAACGCGCTAACCACTTGCGTCATCGAGCTCCTCAAATTGTCATAAATATATTCAAATGTATAATTCATAACAGGGGGCCAATCGCCTAACGGAAATGCTTTGGAAAACGCTAACGCTTACGATTTTATTTTGTTATTTCTAGCCGCCTGAGGTATTCAAATGTCTCGCACTCTTTCTTTTTCTTTTGCATTGGTAATAACAATATAAAAAAAAATAAGCGTGAGGTATTCGAAAACCTCAGGCGGCTAGAAATAACAATATAAAATCGTAAGCGTTAGCGTTTCCCAAAGCATTTCCGTTAGGCGATTGGCCCCCAGGTATGTTATTTACTTTGCACCGCGCCATTTTAGGATTTTGTATGTAAACGTTATAGATTAATATTTTGTATGGGGGTGTAGTACGTTACTGTTTATAACTGTTCGCACTATTTTTATTTACGCGATTTTGAAGTTCCTCAGATAACTCAAAAATTCACATTCCCGCCTTAATTATAAAAAACTTTTCTTTTAGAAGGCTGGCCACAAAAAAGTTTATTGAATTCGAATTTAGAATTGTTAATGAAAATAAAAATGTATACTTTTTAGAATCTTACTCATTTTTAAAAATGGAGTCGACGCTTATAGAAGACCGTGTTGCAGTTACTGCGTTGCATCGTTGCGGTTACGCGCCAATTCAAATTTTTTACATACTGAAAATTTTTAATATAACCAAAAGATTATATATATATGGCTTCTATTGGATTTTCCAAAATATTTTTGAAGTTATACTTCTTTAGGCGCGTTATGAAAAAATTATGAGAGTGAAATTTTAAGATGCGCGCGCATCACTGTAACACAAAATATTTTTAGCTTTAGCGACCAACTTCATGCTGTTACTTTAGTGTTTACCGCACATTAAGAAAATCTATCAACAAAATAGAAATAGAATCTCTATTTAGTGGGTGCTAACGACTGCATTATGAAGGCCTATCAAAAGTATTTCTTAATCTGGAACAACGGAACCAAAGCGCGATTCAGGAGACTACAGCGCCATCTCTTGACCATTGGTGTAGTAGAACCAA